ACCAGCTTTCTCGAGTGACTAATAAGTTAGTGAGACAAGAATAACCTATTCTGAAACCGTGCTGTTTCTCCGAGAGGATTCGGTTTACATCGAGGTACTGAAACAGCTCTTTCCGAATAATCTTTTCTAAGATTTTTACAACCACACTAGTTAGGCTAACGGGTCGGTAATTCTCAGGTTTATGTTTCGTACCTGTTTTGAAGACAGGACTTACTATGGCGTTCTTCCAGTCTTTTGGTAAACGACCCTGCGTGACGGATAGCTTAAAGCATATACTTAAAGGGTTCGCAACGAAGTTAGATAACTCCTTTAGTAGCCTAGGATGCAATTCATCGGGCCCCACGGATTTACCTATGTCAAGCTTATTTAGCAGATCAAAGACATCGAGTTCATTAATGGTCACGCTATCCAGTGTATGTGTAGGGGGGTTTGTATGCGCTGACGGGAAGGGTGCTTCTATGGTATATACGTTGCTAAAGTAGTTTGAGAACACTTGAGCCTTACCAAAGTCATCTTCCACTAATGATGCGGCAGTACTGTCTCCCCATAGTGCAGGGATAATTCCTCTTCTTTTTGTCCTTTGGTTTATATAGGAATACAGGCGTTTAGGACATTCTATGGATTCCTTAACAATTTTTTCTTCGTACAGTTTTCTAGACTTACGGAGGGTCGAGGCACAGGTATTCCTAGCTTTTCGGTACTGAGATTTTGTCTCATCAGACCCCAGTAACCTAAATCTATCCCACATATTTCTTCTCTTACGGAGAAGGATGCGGACCTCCTTATTGAACCATGGTGGGGAGTTTCTCGGCCCCCTTGGTCTAGTCCAGGGAATGTGGGGTGCGGTAACTTTTAAATATAGATTTCGGAATGCATTCCAAGCCGTTTCAATTGAGGACGCTGGGTCTATTGTCCAATCTACTAGTGATGCCGAGTGCATGATATCTGGTATGCTTGCTTTCCAGACGTTAGGTCTGGATTGAGTTGACGCTTGCTCGTGATTGACAGTTATATGAAAGTCAAAGTTTAAAACTGCATGATCACTTTTACCTAAGGGTGGCATGTAATGGAGGTTCGCAACGTCATCCTCATAGTGAGTTAATATAAGATCTAGCAAGGATGATTCAGTGTCCGGGTCGTACCTAGTCGCTTCTTTCACATGTTGCACTAAGGCACATGTTATAACCGCGTCAACTAGTTCCTGCTCGAAGGAATTATCTGATGATTCGGTTCGCAGATTTCTCCAGTCTACCGTAGGTGCATTAAAGTCCCCTAGGATTAGACATCGACCACATCGCGACCAATTTTTGAGCCTGTTTAACAGGACATCATTTACCTCACAGCTTGGACTGCGATAGACCAAACCAATTAGCAGCTCTTGTCCCTTGAATTTCAAGCGGCAACTAATCAATTCACACGTCCCACTTTCATGGGATACACTATCAACGATGACAAACGGGATAGCATTCCTAATGAATAGAGCTACTCCCCCTCCTTTACGCTTATGTATTCTGTCGGTCCTTACTAAAGTAAAACCCTCAAAATCGAGTTCCATATTATCTATAGACTGTGTCAGCCAGGTTTCTGTGACTGCGATTATGTCTGGCTCTGTAGAGTCAATCTGTTCACCTAGTTCCGATAGCTTATTTAACAAGCTTCGGGCATTTGTGTAACAGATCCTTAGCCTATTTGAGTGACTTCGTGTTTCACCCAGAGTGGCTTCGCCATCATTCTCTGACGAAGCCTCACAACCCGAAAATTTACAATTTTCAGGTCCTTTTCGCCAGCGTCTAACCTCATTTGTAGTTCTTTTTCGGCTTCCCGTCTTTTTACACGGTCTGCCAACGGCAAGTCCTTTCGGATAAAAACTCCCGAACCCTTTAATTTATGTCCATTCTGTAAAATTAAGTCCCTTTCGTTCGAAGATTTGAAAACTACTTTAAGCAGTCTAGATTGATTAGGCTTCAAGTTCGCTAAACTACCTAGTCTATACACCTTTAGCAAGGTGACTCCGGAGATATTTTCAGGCATGAGTTGATTAAGTAGCTGTTTTATCAGGTCAATGTCATGCTCAAAACGAGTTTTTGGTTCGGAGCTTTCGCTCTCCTTGATCCTATGAAAAATGACTGATCTGTTACTGTGATCAGCATTCGGTTTTTCGACTACTTTTGTGGGGGCAGGGTTCCCTTTTATATCATTTTTCTGTTTCTTCCTCACAACCTGTACCCATTCGTCAACGTTGCTTGGAGAAGCAACCACAGTCGCGTCAAACATACTGTGGGATTCCGGAGGGTTTTCGATGACTTGGGAGGTCAGGTTTGGTGTCCCTTTGGAAACTGATCGAGCCTTGCGGTTGCGGCTTCTATGTGTTTCTTTCTGGATACCATTTTGAGGACGTGGGACAGAAGAAACGTTTTTCCTTGAGTTTTTTGTGCGGACAGAACTCTTTGGGGATTGTTCTCCCTCCTTTGATCGGTGCGAGTCATCTGTTTTCGAACTCACTTTAGTTTGACTCACGCCAATTTGCGTGTCAACGGAGCGAGTACTTGATGATGTGTCGCGACCACTCTTACCAAAACATTTTTTAGCAGCACTAACCAATGAGATGGCCTCGGTTAGCAAACTGTTAGCATCCGAACAGCACTGTTGACAGAGCCATACGCAACCATTCCTACTGAACCGTTTGAAAGCTGCAGGCGTTAAATTTGTGCAAACTTCGTGGTACCATCCTTTGCACTCATCGCACTGCATGCCGCTTTCAACAGGATAACGACAGCCCGGGCGTTGGCAATTACTTTTTTTGCACTGTCCAGTCATTTAAACACGGGGGTTTTTTTTTAAAAAAAAAGGAACTAGATGCAAAGACACTCAGGGACAAAAAAACAATCTATGACCAAAAAAAGTGGAAAACTGTGGATCGTTGGAACCAAAAGTACTAACAGATACTGTAAAAAAAAAACAACAGAGTACTCAAAAGTACTGCCAACAAAACTACTTTAGAAACAAAAACAAAAATAATCTAATCGAATACTTTAACTGAAATGAACTCAATTAAAGTGAAAAACAGTAGTTTTGATACGTATAAACGATCAAAACAATAGGATCTACTCAGCGAGGAAAAATACCACTGTCCTTTTTGAATAGCGCGGTGATGAACTGATTTGAGGAAATGAAATTCTCATGCTTATATTTTTACCTTTCTTTTCGTCTAAAACGTTATTGAATGCTGTTTCTAATTAGGTATGATAGTTGTCTTGTTTAAAGTTTTCATGGATTATTTTTGCAATAAGCCACTTACACCTTGTACATTATGGGATTTCCTTCTTGGTTTTTCTAAAAAACATAAGCTCAGTTCAAATACTTACCAGGGAGATCATATTCAGAAGTTTTGTTAGTATTGCTTTCATTGAGCTAGATAGTTTAATTAGTTGACTCGTTATTTTAGATTCTGTTAGCACTAAAACCATTTTGACTAGTCTTCACAGGTTTTATTACTTATTATTTTCTCTCTAACTGGTTTGTTCGATTAAACTGATTAAGATGCTTGTTGACTTACCCGTATTGAGTTGATAAATTTGATTTAAATCGATGCTGATTGCAGATTGACATAAATCCCATGCTTTTTAAAATTTCTTGATATTCTTGAATTCTCTATGTGGTTTACGTTTTTACAATCAAATTCGTATCTGTAGTTGTATGGATACATTGCTGTAAGTGACCACGTAGCTCCCTTCACTGTTAGTGCGTTTGTTTATGTATGAGAAAGTGGAACTCCTTTTTGTATAATGTAACACATCTTGCAATTGATGTAGCTTATTTTGTGTTCCTTTCTCTTTTGTATTTTTGTCTGCATAAGATGGAATGTAGTGATTGTATTACTGCATGAGTATTTATCATGTGCAACACATTGGTTTGTCATTTGATTTCCAAGGGTGCTTTTGTAATAGTATGTCATTTTTCTAGACATCTTTTGGTAAAGTTGTGCGACTAGCCATTTTTGTAGGTTGTAGATACAAGAGGTGGTGAAACTATGATTTATGGACGATGTCATCCATGCTGAAATAATCTTGAAAAGGTCCAACCATTCACTAAGGTCAGAAGAGGGTTATGAATTAGTGAAAGGAAACTGGGTTAGGATTCGGGGTTAGAAAATAGGGCTAGCAATTTGAGTTAAGGTTTTCACGAAGTGAGGTCAGCTATAATGCGGGATACTGTCTAACCATATAGTTGATTGATTCTTGCGCCAAAATCCAAGACTTGCTAACTTAAATCTGGCTGGTTCGTGAATAAATTATAATCGCACTTAAGACAACATTTTGTATTAACAGTGTTTTGATGAATGTAAACTCATCCTAATTATTTATTCAGTCGCTATCAACATAGAGCTTGGGATAGATGTGCATTACCCCAAGTCGCTATACAGCAGTAACACCACAAGTTTAAAATAAAAAGATGGATTGCAAAACAGATCGAAGTAATGTAGTTCCAATGATAATGGAAAAGATTAAATATTGATAAATCGCTTCAAAAAGACAGTGGAAAGTAGTGTATGGAGGAATATTAGGATTCAAGATCGAGATGTGAGTACATCTGCTCCATTGTGACTCATTCTAACTCAAGTCGCACAAATTCTGCAACCAATAATCGTGGTTACGACGCAGATCACAACCACATTTCACATTTACCAACATGGCCCAGACTAATAGCCAGTGACCTCTTCGATCAATGCCACGCTCTGGTTCAATCTCTCCTTGCTTCCACCCGACTTACTTCTACACCAGCAAGCATTACCCATTGAGTTAAATAATTTCTAAGAATGCGTAACATTTTATATTCAATGAGGTTATCACTGTCGTATCATTTCATGATGTAATACAGTTTTAATAACCTAACCAAAAGTATCACTTAAAATATCTATTTCATTTTTGTTTTCATTTGCAACAGGTTGTAGCCCGGTTTTCTTTTCTTTTCAAATCTTTCAGTTCCTTCCTTAAACTACCATGTCATCAACATTGGATCATTTGAAAAAGCATACTATTATTGTAGCAGATACTGGAGATTTTAATTGTATGTCATCGATTTTGTAATTGAACAAAATAAATTTCATTTTCACTTTATTATTATTATTTACAGCTATTAAAAAGTATTTACCAATTGATTCAACAACAAATCCATCTTTAATATTATCTGCATGTAAATTACCGCAATATTCACACTTGTTAGATTCTGCTATTCAATATGCTAAGAAAGAAAAACAGTATGTTTATTTTCTAAAAAAACAAAACAAAACAAAAAAAATAACCGTTTTTTAGAACATTAAATGAACAAATTGAATTAGCATTAGAAAGAATATTTGTATTATTCGGTTGTGAAATATTGAAAATTGTACCAGGACGTGTATCTACTGAAGTGGATGCTCGGTAACAAAACAATAATAATAATTAGTTTATCTATTCTTATCTATATCTTTTTTTTATAGTTATTCATTTAATGTACAAAAACAAATAGAAATAGCATGTCGTCTAATATCAATGTATGAAGAATTAGGATTTTCTAAAGAACGTATACTTATTAAATTAAGTTCTACATGGGAAGGTATAAAAGCTGCAAAAATATTAGAATCACAATATGGTATTCATTGTAATTTAACATTAATGTTTTCATTATATCAGGTAATTAAAAGTAAAAATAATATGGTTATTTTGTAACATATTTTGTTTGTTTGTTGTAAAATATTTTATAGATTCTTTGATGAATTGATGTGTATACGTTTTATTAATGAGGAAGTGATGTTTGTTTCTTCTCTATGCTCAAGAATATATCCTATTCAGTTCTCTTTATGAATAATAACTAATTCCTGCTTCAGTTTGGGCAACCGGACATTATCCTAGCTTTCACATAAATCGAATAATTTATGTGATGCTTATCTATTTGGTGCCTTTTTGTACTAATGTTTATGTGTTTAAATAAACAAGTAACCAGTTATAGATAAGTTTGTTAAATGCATCGGTTAACGTGATAAATTGATAGTTTTTGGAAACTTATTCGGTTGAGATGGTTTAGATGTGTTACATATCTTCAACTAATGACTACTGTAATGTATAATATTCTATAGAATGGAGCTACTAGTATTTCACTTCAGTTGTCTTAGAAATATTGCTCTCATCTGATGGGATCATCGAGTAAGTAATAGTGAGTTTAGACGTAGGTAATAGGGAATGATGGTGAATCAGTTGATGAGGTCGTGAATCTTCATCGACTGAGATAGTTGGGCCACGTGTTACGTATGTCTGCCTGGACACCGATTACCACGACGCGCAATGCTAACCGGTGTTGGGGATGGTTGGAAGAAGGTTAGGGGCGGCCAAACCAAAACGTGGCATCAGTGCTTGAAGACACCAACTTCTAGTCTGAGCCATGTTGGTAGATGCAGACTACTTGGTTGTTGTCGGCGTGACTATCGTAACCAATGGTTGGAAACTGTATGTAACATGGTTCAGAATCGATCACAATGGCGTCGATGTATACACTCTCTGTCTTCCCTTAAACTATGAGATTAAAATAGCTTTATATCTTTTTACTACCAACTAACTCTTTTTTGTTGTACTATATCCTTATATGCAATCTTTCTTTTATATATTACCACCATTGAATTAATTATTCCTATGAATCCGGTGTTCATCTTGCTGTGCTAATGCGGTATGGCAATTCGGACCGATGTATATATGTGCTTAATCCTACGTTGTAGCTGACTGACTGATAGAATTGATTTAAATTGGAAGAAAATTGAATTCGGCCGAAGAATAACATGTTATCAGTCTGTGAAGTCATTGGTCAACGAATTTGAACTGTCTAACTTAGATTTGCTTGATAACCGCAGTAAGTGGAGGGGGGGGGAGGACGTTGCGTGATACGTTTAGTAAACAGTCATGATGGTACATATACATTCACTGTTTATCTGACCCTTCATCAAGTCTTGATTCTTTTGTTCAACAAATTAATCTTGTCTTTTTGATCACTCACTACTTAATTATTTTCATTGTTGCTAATATCACGTATTTCGACTCGTACGATATTCATTTCGCTAATTTGATTTCGTTATGCTAATATAGTATAACTGACTGACTGTTATGATGACTATTACGATGAAAAAAGCACGCACAGCAATTCACACGAATAGGAGAAAGACAAAAAATATTTGGTGTTGAATGTTTTCCCTAGAAATAATATGTATTTGTGGATAGTCTTCTAGAAATCCTGGACCTACATGTCACGTGAATCGGAAATTGTCGAAAAGATTTACTTGAAATGTAATACGTATTTATGTGTTGAATGTACTTTGATAACGATTAAATGACTTATAGTATTGTAAAATAATTGTATGTATACATCGTAGGCTACGTGATGTGTTAATCATTGATGTTCATAATAAAAAATAGTAATTACTTACTTACTTACACCTGTTACTACTAATGGAGCATAGGCCGCCGACCAGCATTCTCCAACCCACTCTGTCCTGGGCCTTCTTTTATAGTTTCATCCAATTCTTGTTCATTTTTCTCATGTCCATCTCCGTTTCCCGGCGTAATGTGCTCTTTGGTCTTCCTCTCATTTTTCGACCTTGAGGATTCCACGTGAGGGCTTGTCCTGTGACACAGCTCGGTGCTTTCCTCAATGTGTGTCCTATCCACTTCCAGCGCTTCTTCCTGATTTCTTCCTCCACTGGGATCTGATTTGTTCTCTCTCACAGTAGGTTGTTGCTAATAATGTCCGGCCAACGGGTCCGAAGTATTTTGCGTAGACAACTGTTAATAAACACCTGTATCTTCCGGATAATGGCTTTCGTGGTTTTCCAGATTGTGGAAAACATAAAACGAACTGTTTATCATTTTATTTATCAGGATATGAAGAGGGATTCAGTACACTATACTTCTGTACATATAAATCAGTATGAAAACATTTAATTATATAACAGTTTCACTACAAATCAAAGTCAAGTAATTTCATTACTGACAATTTTAACATTCCAAATATGCAGTTTAGTAAAAGTATGCTCAAACGTTGGTATAAAGAAACCTTTCTCGTGGTTCTTTTCACTATTTATTAATATTATTTATTATTTGAACATATAGATATTGATACAAGGAGGCACCAAATAGATACACGCCACACAAATCCCATTTGATATTTGTGAGAGCTGTTATACTGCTCGCGTGCCCAAACCGAAGCAGGTGGTTTTCTTAGGGGACCACACCCGGAGTCTTCGACCTAAAGGTCTGATCCACAAGGCAATACAGCATCGTGAGGAGATGCAGTATCAAGGTAGCCGGTGACTAACAATTGGTTCATACGCCATTTGTTCCCGCAGGATACTGGAGCCCATGTGCACCATTTATTTGGGATACTGTTGAAGCGCCGGACATTCGCTTTTTGTCCTCTCATTTTCGTAAACAACACCCATGGTGCGAGAAGGCAGTGAGTAGGACTTCCCTGGTAGAGGCTATATACACGTGTCCATGCGAAAGCATTTCGAGAGGTAGAGAGGACTCTCCCCACTCTCGGCCGTACCAAGGCATTCGGGGGCCATCTGTCACGACTGATACATAGAAATTCATAAGTGTTATTATTGATGACTCTGAAAAAAATGTTATCTACTGGAATTTACCAAATTGTTAAATTTGTAACTTCAATGCTTATCAGATGGAGATAATTATCCGCCTCCAATAATGGATGAAGGGTTGTGCAAGATCATGGATCGATTAAAGTTAGATATTAATATCGTTGAATATCGATTCAACGGTCTCGAGTTTAAGCGTTCACGTGTGAAACCGAAGTTCTTGGGTTCAACTTCCACGTGCAGTATCGTAAATCCTCACTTTTGAGGCATCCTATACTAGAACGAAACGGCCGTCTAATGCTTCCAGGTTTTCAGTGGTGATCTAACTTAGATAGACTCATAAATTCAACTGTTGAAACTCTAACATGTATGTATATTTATTATTTAAAACATCCATACTAATTATTTGTTTATGCTACATAAACTGATCATAAAAATGCATTTAAAAAATTTCATTGACTAGTACCAAAATTATGTGACTGGTCAACAAAAAGTTTGTACTCAAATTTTCTAAATCTGAGATCGAAACTTCGTGTTGCACACATATATATATGCATACTTGTATTGGGATGTATATGTACATAATTAGATATCAGTTTTTAGCGTCTGGTATTATATCCAACGGTCATAGTTTATTCTAGCTTCCGGAAAGATCGATTTATTCACTTATCTCAAGTCACATTTTTGACCTTGTCAATTATTCGCTTATTAACTTTGACTGCTGGTATACGAGGCTATAAATGTGCACTGCTTATCCTATTTATCACGTCTCTAGCTTACTCTTTTTTCGACTATAACTATTGAGTGACGCTCACTCACCTTCTTCGCTTCTGCGCGTGTTATTCTGAATATCCGTCTAGATAAACGAATTACTTACGCCTGTTACTCCTCGTGAAGGAGCATAGGCCGCTTTCCAGCATTCTCCATCCAACGCTGTACTGAGCAATGTTTTCCAGTTGTTATTCATCTTTTTCATATCTGCTCTTATTTCCCGACGTAATGTGTTCTTTGGCCTTCCTCTTTTTCGCTTCCTTTCAAGATTTCAAGTTAACACTTGTTTCGTTCTGCAATAGTGGTTATTTCTGTAATGTATCTTCTATCCTTATCCATTGTCTTTCCCTAATTTTCTCTTCATCTGAAAGCTGGTTTGTTCTCTCCCACAATAGGCTTTTGCTAATAGATAAACGAATACTTCAAATACATTTCTCTAACCTAACTCATATTTAGCTTCTTCTTATTATGACCGTCACATACGGGGTTAGTCTATGGTAATATACGGAGTTAAATGGAAGATACATTCATCCAAAGTTGAAGTTAGATCAGTTGATCATAAAAGGATCATGGATGTTTTTTTTTCTTCTTTCATGAATGTTCCTTTTGTATTTTAAGTTTTTATTTATTTAACTTATATATATTTCTTATTAAATTTAATAGGCTATAGCTTGTGCTCAAGCTAATGTTACATTAATTTCACCATTTGTTGGACGTGTATTAGATTGGTATATAACTAAATATGGTAAAAAAGAATATACTAGACATAATGATCCTGGTGTTAATTTGGTTACTCGTATTTATAATTATTATAAAGTTCATGGTTATAAAACACAAGTAAGTTAATGAATATTTTTAATTTCAATTCTTTAGTAAAAAAAAAGTGATGTAAATAAATTGGGACTCGAACTTATAACTTACTAAACAAGAGTTGGATTAACATTGTTGTGTGTAAAGCATTGTATTCAAACTAAATGAAGTAAACATTAAAACTCCATTAATACTTGGTAGGTGTCTCATCGTAATTGATTACTTGTCTTCAGTGTTAAGGATGGTTGGAAGAAAGTTAGGAGCGGTCAAACCAAAACGTGGCATCAGTCCTTCAAGTCACTAAATTCTGGTCTGAGCCATGTTGGTAGATGCAGAGTACTTGGTTGTTGTCGGCGTGACTATTGTGACCAATGGTTGGAGACTGTGTGTGACATGGCTCAGAGTCGACCACAATGGCGTCGGTGTATACACCCTCTGTCTTTCTTTAAACTAAGAGGTGAAAATCGCTTCATATCTTTATTTCTATGAACTAATTGTTTCTTCCTGTGCTATATACGCAGATGACATAGTCGTGTTTGGTGAAGACGCTGATGAAATGCAGAGTCTTTTGGTAGCACTGACCAACAATGCCAGAATGTTTGGGATGCGCTTCTCTCCCTCCAAATACAAGTTGTTGCTTCAGGACTGGTCTGCGTCAACACCTGAACTAAGGATAGGGAATGAAGTAATCGAACGCGTTGACAACTTCACTTATCTTGGAAGTCTGATCAGCCCTAATGGGTTGGTGTCTGACGAAATCTCAGCACGGATTCGAAACGCTCGTTTGCCTTTCGCCAACTTACGTGACCTATGACCTAGGCGAGATATCCGTCTATCAATTAAGCGTCGAGTATACTGAGCGTCAGTTTGTTCCGTTCTACTGTACGGCTGTAAAACATTGCCTTTAAGAGTAAAAGATACTCGTAAGCTACAAGTATTTGACCACAGATGCCTTAGAAATATTGCGGGTATCTGCTGGGATCACCGGGTAAGTAATAGTGAGGTTAGACGCAAGGTATTAGGGAATGATGGTAAATCAGTTGATGAGGTTATGAATCTTCATCGACTGAGATAGTTGGGCCACGTGCTGCGTATGCCTGAACACCGATTACCACGACGCGCAATGGTAACCGGTGTTAGGGATAATTGGAAGAAAGCTAGGGGCGGCCAAACCAAAACGTGGCATCAGTGCTTGAAGTCACTGACTTCTGGTCTTTGCCATGTTGGTAGATGCAGACTACCTGGTTGGGGTCCGCGTGACTATCGTAACCAATGGTTAGAGACTCTTGGTGACATGGCTCAGAATCGATCACAATGGCGTCGGTGTATACACCCTCTGTCTTTCTTTAAACTATGAGATTAAAATCACTTCAAATCTTTATTTCTACGAACTAATTGTTTCTTCCTCTACTATCTCCTTATACACAATCTTTCTTCTATATATTACCACCACTGAATTAACTACTTTTATGAATCCGGTGTTCATCTTGTTGTGCTAATGCGGTATGGCAACTTGGACCGACGCTAAGATGTGCCTGGTCCTACGCTGCAGTTGACTGACTGACTGATATCCCTTTGTGCGATCTTTATTTTATACATTACTACGAATGAATTTATTACTAGGAATCTGGTGTTCATCTTGCTGTGCTAATGCGGTATGGCAACTTGGATCGTTGCATATATGTGCCTGGTCCTACGTTGTAGTTGACTGACTGACTGACTTGGCTTCAGTGTACACTCACAACACATTCTCAATGTGCAACTTGGTATTTCCATATATCACAGCAAGCACAATACCATTCAAACCACTGAAGTAAAACTCAATGTTACATGTTTTTGAAGTTAATCACCTTTTTTTCCAGCTTTTAATGCATTCTGTTTTTTCTTAATTGTTTTATTTTGTTATTCCGCACCATTGACTTTTTGTCATAACTGTTGAGAACTAGAAAACACTTTGCAAATGCTTCATCCCTAATATGTGCCTTATCAATGCGGACTTACAACTAGCTGTCAAACTTAAGGTCTTCAAACTTTATTACTGAATATAACACCCACTGGTTTACATTTCCAATCTTAATCAATTCGTGATTTTAAACAACCACAATTGGTTACTAGTGATGAGAATTGTCTCACGGTTTCTGGCTAGAATTACATAAATTACCTGTAAAAATTAGTCACTACCTATCTATTTATTCATTTAAACAGATAAAAATTGACACAAGGAGGCACTCATATATATGCGCTACACAAATCATTTGATTTGTGTGGGGGCTAGGATACTCCCCGGTTGCCCAAACCGAAGCAGGTGGTTTTCTTAGGGGGTCACAGCCCGAAATTTTGACCTAGAGGTCTGACCGACAAGGCAGTAGAGCTTCGTGGGGAGATGCAGTCCCATGGTAGCCGATGATCAACAATAGGTTCATATCTTCTTCGTTCCTTTAGGATCTTGGAGCATATGTTCACCGTTGGTTTGGAATCTCCGTATCCATCAATCCGGTTAAAGCAATGCACAATCACTTACCGTCCTATCAATTTCGTAGACAACAGTAATAGTGTGAGAAGGTAGTGAGTAGGACTTCCTTTACAGTGTCTGTATACACGTGGTCATGTAGGAGTACTTTGAAGGGGTGAGACGACTTTCTCCACCCTCGACTGTACCAGGCATTTGTGTGCGAGTCACTATTAGTGAACATAGGATTGTTTTGTTTTTATTATGATAAGCTTTAAAGATTCTTGAATGGTATAATCTTACATCATAGAGACTAACTAATGACTTCTTAATTAACATTTAGAGTTAATTGGTTTATTTAAAGAAAATATAATAAATGGTACAATTTCTAATTAAGTTATGGTTATGTAATCCATAAATTCAATCAATTCTATTATGCATCTACTATTCGTTTTGATTAGTTCATGTTAGCTTAATCAATTTGCTATATAAATAGTAATCATTACTAGTAATTGATTAATTTGGGGGCATTAATTAATGCCCTGCTACGACCGAGAGTGTGGGAGTCCGCTCTTCCACTCGAAATGCCCCACATGACCACGCGTATATAGCCTCTGCCAGTGGAGTCCTACTCATTGCCTTCTCGTGGCGGGGTTGTTGTCCAAGAAAAAGCGAATGTCCGGCGCCTTAACCGGATCCCAAACCAATGGTGCACATGGGCTCCAGTATCCTGAAGGAACAAATGGCGTATGAATCAATCGTTGGTCACCGGCTACCATGGGACTGCATCTCCTTACGATGCTTCACTGCCTTGTGGATCAGACGTTCAGGTCGAAGGCCCGGGGTGTGGCCCCCTAAGAAAACCACCTGCTTCGGTTTGGGCACCCGAGCAGTATCACAGCCCTCACACAAATCAATTGCGATTCGTGTGCCGCATATGTATTTGGTGCCTCCTTGTACCAATATGTGTTAAAATAAAATAATAAATAAAATAAATCGATTAATTATAAGTAATATGTGCTAGTTATCCTTTTGTTTTATTTATATTCAATATTTTGGCACCATAATCTAATCAATATTGTGTTGTGCCTCTTTCAATATATCACAGTTATGAATAATATCGTTGTTTTAATTAATTAGTATCTGAAGGGTTTTTATGGAGATTGTAGTAATTTCAGTGGTTAAGATCATGAGTCAGTTGAAGAGTCCCACAATAGGACGAAACGGCCGTCCAGTTCTTCCAGGTTTCCCATGGTGGTCTAGCTTCAACTGACTCATGATCTTAACCATTGTAATTAGTATCTATTTGTGATACATTTCTTAGCTTCACATTTTCTGTATCAAGTATTTTCTATGTATTCAAAAGTATCTAAATCCACTATGTATCAAACAATCAGTTCGAATGATAAGATTTCTTCAATCTATACAATTATCAATCTTATGAAGATTAGTTTAATTTGTAAGTTATATTTGTTACAGATTGATCTTAGTTAAAGCTCAGTTGAAAAAACAAGGAGTACTGGATAGCTGTTTCTTCCTAATAGAAATATCTCTTCAACAATGCTCACTTAACACCCCACCATGAATTGAACCTTACTTACTTACTTACACCTGTTACTCCTCTCAAATGAGCATGGGCCTCTCACCAGCATTCTCCATCCAACCCTTTCTTGGGCAATCCTTTCCAGCTCTTTCCAGCTGTTATTCATCTTCTTCATATCTGCTTCTATTTCACGACATAATGTGTTCTTTAGCCTTCCTTTTTTCAGCTTCCTTTCAGGACTCCAAGTTAGGGCTTGCTTCGTGATGCAGTTTGATGATTTCTGTAATGTTATATCCTATCCATTTCCATCATTATTTTCTACTTTCCTCTTAAGCTTCAAGCTGTTTTGTTCTCTTCCACAATAGGCTATTGCTGATGGTATCCGGCCAATGTATGTTGAGTATCTTATAAACTGAACCTAGAACTTTTAATTCTTTTAGCTCACATTTAATCATTATAATAACTGAGTTGGCTTACGATCATTAGAGTGAAACAACTGTCCAGGTCTCCTTGGTTTTCAATTGAAGTCAATCTATGATGAACAGAGCTTACAAATTACTGTATTACGTTAGACAATAACGTATGTTTATAAGCATTTAAATCAAACTAACCAGCGTTATCCTTCGAAAATATCAAATTTCATGTTGATTATGTCTTGAATCCTAACAAAATAAGGTCATTGGTAAAGTTCATAGAGGGTCATACAAGAACAGGTAAGAAATACCATATACTTTAAGATTAGACTAAGAATCGATCATCTTTATTATGGAATATAGCAGATAAATAAGATTGCATATATCTTCTTTGTATATATATGTAAAGTGGTTTCTTCGAATGGACAAAAATTTCTTTCTCTATTTAGAGTTAAGGTAATCATACGCTATTTAGGAATCTGTTGAATAAGCCTCTTCATTTTTTTTGGTATTATTATTATTATTTTGCCCCCGAATGCCCTGGTACGCCGAGAGTGCGGAGTGTCCGCTCTCCCTCGAATTGCTCCCACATGGTCACGCGTATATAGCCTCTGCCAGGGAAGTCCTACTCACTGCCTTCTCGCACCACGGGTGTTGTTTACGAAAATGAGAGGACGAAAAGCGAATGTCCGGCGCTATAACCGGATCCGGATTAGGAGGCCATACCCGGAGCCTTCGACCTAAATGTCTAATCCACAGGGCAATGGAGCATCGTAAGGAGATGCAGTCCCATGATGGTTGGTGACCAGCAGTTGGTTCATACGCCATTTGTTCCTTTGTTATGCCTCGATAAGAATAATGAGTGGTAATTTTTGGGATTCATTTCTGGATCAATACTATACGTATATTTTTATCGTATAATTGTTAAATAACTAAGCTATCCGTATTCATGTCTCTCTTATCATAAGCTTTATTTTAACCTATGAACTGTTATTATACGATTTACCATTCTTGAATTATGCCCAGTCTATTAATTACTACTTCTCACACTCACAGCCACATTTGGCTAAATCTTGTACAAATGTTATTTTCCATTTTATGGTACGATGTGGTCTGTCTGATTGGTATATAAACCGAGTAATTTTGAAATACATGATTCATATCGCAGAGGCTCGGACTGGTGTTTTGGACTTAACAGGCTGGGCTAGACAGGGAGCGAGATTAATCAGGACTCTAGGCTGTTCGTGCGGGTTTTACGCGTCATTCATTCGATCGATAATTCACTACTCTATAACCGGCGGTCACAAGCTATAACATCCTTCAGGATCCTGAAACCAATGTGCACTATTGGTTTGGAATGAGGGTTTCCCAACTTCCCTAAGTGGACTTTCCGTGTCCACTAACCCGGTTAAAGCACCGGACATTCGCTTTTCGTCCTCTCAATTTTGTAGACAAGAAGGCAATGTGTAGGACTTCCCTGGAAGAGGCTAAATACGCGTCGCCATGTGAGAGCATTTCGAGAAGGAGAGTGGACTCTCCCAACTCTCGGTCGTACCAGGGCATTTAGGGGCACTAACCATTTTTCAGATAAGAAACAATTAAATACAATATCATCATTATCACTTTATTCTTAGTTATCCAATGGTTGAAAAAAATGCATATAACATCACAATCAAGCAAATTCGTTGAAAATATTGTTCTATCATGGAAATACTTAACAAAACCTTCAACTATTGTCTACATAGAAGTTCAATATTGTCTAGTGCATGAATAGATTATAACCACACTGAAAACTACAATATTAGTCCATAAGATGGTTAACTCTTGAACTAATCCTATAGAATGATACAGATTATTTAATTACGGTTGTTAAACCATGTTAAACGATCTCAAATCGGTTACTATGGTATATACACATGTATTTACTTCTATTCATATGGGAGGCAGGAAGGCGCCAAATACATGTGCGCCACACAAATCTCAATTGATTTGTGTGAGGGCTGCGATACTGCCCGGAAGCCCAAACCGAAGCAGATGGTTTTCTTAGGGGGCCACACCCCGAGCCTTTGACCTGAACGTCTGACCCACAAGGCAGTGGAGCATCGTAAGGAGATGCAGTCCCATGGTAGCCGGTGACCAACGATTGATTCATACGCCATTTGTTCCCGCAGGATACTCATATGACATACTCATTATTTCATTTTACTATTCATCATTGTTATTATCATTTTGTGTTTATCTTATCTTGATTACATCATATGACAATTTAGTTCAATGCATATTTATATTACTTATATGTTGTCTATTGTTCAATACATTACGTAATAACTATTCAATGTTCAATCAATGTAAGAATATCTTTAGTCTTTTCGTTTACCGGAAAATGTATTCAATGTAGTAACTGAATATGTGTATTATTATTGTTACGTTTAATGCTTGTCAAATATACTAAGTTATAATGGTAATTTTGATATGAACAAATCATATCAATCAGTCAGTCAGTCAGTTGGTCAGTTAGTTAGCTACAACATAGAACCAGGTACATATCTATGCATTGATCCAAATTGTCACACTTCATTAGTACAGCTAAATGAACATTGAATTCATAGAAGTAGTTACTTCTTTAATGATAGTACTATATATAAGAAAGAATATATATATATAAACATTATAGTTGATTTATAAGATGGTCATTGTTTATTTGGTTAATTTGAATGACTTTATAGTTTCTATGAAAGATTTGTTTTTTTCCTCCACAGCAACAGTTGTTCTCTTGACTTCATATTGTTGTTGTTGTTGTTGTTGTCGTCATCGTTTTTTTTTCTCTCTCTCTCTCTGATGACTTTTAATTCAATTCATCTAATGTTTCTTGTAGTGATTATTATCACTACCCAATGTACCTATTAAAAACAATACTGATATTACCTTTCTATAATAAATTTTTTTGATAAAGTTGTGTAACCAAATGGTATTCGTGCAAAACAAGATAAACAAAATTAGAAACATGTATATGACTTGAACTATTCTATTCTATGTAAAACTTGACAACACTTCTTTCAATACAAAATTGTTTCATATCAATAGGGTTTTTATAGATATTGTAGTATTTTCAATGGTTGAGATCATGAGTCTATTGGATACGGTCTCAGTGATCTAGTGGTTAAACGCTCTTGCACAATACTGATAGATCTTGGGTTTCAATCTCATGAGGCGTGATCGTGAATGTACACTACCATTGAGAAGTTCTACAATAGAACGAAACGACTATCCAGTTTTTCCAGGTTATCTATGGTGATCTAGCTTTAAATGATTCATGATCTCAACTACTGAAATTACAAAATAGTTTGTTTTGATGTTTAATATCCATTAATGTTAATTATTATTATTACTACTACTACCACTTATTAGTGATCAGTTAATGAATGATCATTCTAGCGATAATAACTCCAACTGTGTGACATTAAGTAATGTACCTTTGAACATACTATCCCACTCCCAATGATCCACAAAAAGTGGAAGGTTATTTCTTTTAAGATTGTAGACAGCACAGATATTATGTTACGTAGGGTTGACGTACTTGATTTCCACCCAGTTCATTATATGACAAATGTTTTCTAATGTAATAATGTTTCTCAGCTAAATTATGTATATATGCTAAACTCTACATCTATACAAACTCAATATCATGCTGATACACTCTAATAGTTCAAAAGAGTATTCTTTTACAATTGATTGATCACTAAGTGGTAATCAATGTCATGTATATCTGGCTCTTCTTAGTGCAGATCAAATCCTATCGACCAAGTCGCAATGTGGCTACCAGTCTGGGTGACTCGACATTGAGTGCATTATGTTGAGATAAGATGATGATTCGAGTTAGTCAACAGGAAACCCTGGACTCGGGTTTCGTGCTATTTAGCACTCGTCAGCAAGGTTTATCTGTAATCTTCAGGGAACTGGTGTTCTATGACGGATTTGATTCCGTGTCACTCAGCTTGACAGTCAGAGAGGTTACCATTGAGTTATCTGGGCCGCGACTGATCTCTTGTAGTACTGAGATGTATTCACAATTGATTGATCACTGGGTGGCGGGTAATCGATGTCATGTATATCAGGTCCTTAGTACAGGTCGAATCCTGGTTGGAAGGCAGTCAACAGGAGTATTCTTTTGTCGCATCTATATGCATATTTTCATTCTATTCTGAATAAAGCTTTTAATCATAAAATATTATTTTCTTTTTAATGTTTCCTTTAGATCATGGGTGCTTCATTTAGAAATGTTGAACAAATTCTTGGTTTAGTTGGATGTGATTTATTAACAATATCACCTAGTCTTTTAGAAGAATTAAGTAAAATGTCAGAAGTGCCCAGTTTATGCTTGACTATAGAAAAAGGTAAATAAATTTATTCTCTTGGATTGTTTTTGGCTTGTATCTTCCCATTGAGGTTTAAGACTACAATTGATCAGTCTGTTATTGGCATATGTGCATACTGTGCGTATGCCTCGATATTGTCCCAGAGTGAACATCAACACTGAGATGTAGGTACATCCAGTTGACGTTTCCCGATTTGGACAAAACGCGCGTAAAACTGGACTCCACTGCTAGCCACTATCCATCATTGCTTACACTACAAAAAGCTTGTGAATTAAGGCAATATCGAGGTATACGTACAGTATGCACATATGTCAATAAGAAATTGATCAATTACAGTCTTAAACCTCAATGGGATGGTACAAGCCAAACAATACCAAGTGAATTTAAATTCACCCCATTGCACAAGCAACGGACTATCAGGACTCAGTCGCTGGGTGAATAACGCGATGGCGTTTGGAGCGAATGGTACTGGGTTCGAGTCCCAGGGTGAACATCATCTTTATATATAAAGATTTTATGTTTTCACTTGGTATTGTTTGGCTTGTATCTTCCCATTGAGGTTTAAGACTAATTTATCAGTTTGTTATTGACATATGTGCACACTGTGTGTATGCCTCGATATTGCCTTAATTTACAAGCATTATAAGCAAAGATGGATAGTGGCTAGTAGTGGAATCCAGGACGCGCGTTTCGTCCCTTGTTTGGGACTCGTCAGCTGGATGTACCTGCATGTCAGGGTTGATGTCCCAGAGTAAATTTATTCTGTTTTCTTAGTTATCGAACGAAACTCGGTTCAACTTCTATTTTGATAACCATATAATATTTTTAATTGTTTCATCTGGATAATTGTTGTTAGTCGTATTAATAATTTACACAAGTCAATTGATTTGTGTGTGGGCTGTGATACCACCTATGTGTTCAGATCGAAGCAGGTCGTTTTCTTAGGAGGCCACAACCCGAAGCCTTTGACCTAAAGGTCTAATCCATAAGGTAGTGTAGCAACGTCAGGAGATACAGTCCCATTGTAGGCGATGACCAATAATATGTTCATACGTCATTTGTTTCCTTAGGATCCTGTAGCCCATGTACACCATTGGTTTGGAATGAGAGTTTTCCAACTCCCGTACGTGGATCATCTATATCCAACAATCCGGTTACAGCACCAGACATTCGCTTTTTGTCCTCTCAATTTGGTGAACATCAGCCTTGCCATGAGAAGGCAGTGAGTAGAACTTCACTTGAAGTGGTTGTATACACGTGGCCATTTGAGAAGGAGAGCTGACTCTTCCCACTCTCGATCATACCAGGGCAATTAGGGACTCAACAAATAACAACATACTGATGAAATTTTTTTTCTATGCATTATTTCTGTGTTATTCACTTCAATTGAACATGTTTACTGTTCAAGAGACTTACATGAATTAATCAATTCTGATTCTTTCTTCTTTTCTTTTTATTGTGACCAACAACAACTAAACACACACACACACACACACACGCTTCTAGCTCAAACATCTTATGATCATTCTTATCAATCAGATGAATTATTAACAGAAGAAGAATTTCGTTGGCAAATGAATGAAGATGAAATGGCTAATGATAAATTAACTGATGGTATAAGACGTTTTACTAATGATGCTTTAATATTAAAAGATTTAATTAAAACACGTATAGAACAATAATAATGAATTAAATTATTGAATCCTGATTGTATTCTATACGTGATCATTTTTCAAATTAGATGAATTTAACATTCATTCAAACGGGATATCATTGATATCTCTTTAATTCAATCCATTGATCAGCATAATTAACGCTTATTTAGTATTAAGTATTTTAATTAAAATTCATTAATTTCCATTGATTACATTCTTATTGTTATGAAATTGATCCAAGTTTTAGTTATTTCAATAGTTGAGATCATGAATCAATTGAAATGAGACGATCATGGAAAAACTTGGAAATACTAGATGGGTGTTTCGTCTTAGTGTAAGATTCATCAGTGGCAATGCGCATCCACGATCTCGCGCGTTAGCGCTTAACCACTGAGCCGGAATCCAACAATGTTAATGTTTAAATTCAACTAATTCACGGAATTGGTTGATATTATTAACCATTGTCATCAGTGAATTACTATCTTACAACAGACCTGGTTGAACTTCACTGGTCACTGCTTCTCACTAGAACTCCAGGATATAACTATTAAAGCCTGTGACTAGTGAGCATATGTTGATTACTATCAGAACGAGTTTTTTGGAGATTTTAGTAATTTCAGTAGTGGAAATCATGAGTCAAGTGAAGCTCAATCACCATGGGAAACCTGAAATCACTGAACGGTCGTTTCGTTCTATCGTGGAACTCCTCAGTAGCAGTGCGCATCAACGATCCCGCTTCGTAAGATTCGAACCCAGGACCTATTTGTCTCGCGCGCTAGCGCCTAACCACTGAGCCAGTATCCTACGTTGTTAATGTCTAACTTCAACTTATCCACGAACTTGAGCGACACATTATTTATTTATTTGAACACATAAATATTGGCACAAGGGGAACCGAACACATTTGCACCGCACAAGTCACTTGATTTGCGTGTGAGTTGTGATGCTGTACGGTTGCCCAGACCAATGCCTTCCATCTAAAAGTCTGACCCACAAGCCAATGGAGTAACGTTAGGAGATACAGTCCCATGATACTCTGTGGCCAATAATTGATTCATATGCTCTTCGTTCCATTAGGATTCCGGAGCCCATATGCCTAACTTCTCCTTGTCAACCAACCCGTTTAAAGCACTTGACATTCGCTCTTTCAATTTCGAAAACACCCCCCAGTGGCAAGAAGGCATTAAGTAGGACCTCCGTTGAAGTGTTTGTATGCATGTTGTCACTTGAGAGCATAACAAGAGGGAGAGAGTACTTTCTCCACATTCAATCGTACCAGGACTTTTGGGGGCATATTGAAAAAACCGGTTCTCGTCCTTATACTGTATAGTTAAACTTGTACATGTTGCTGATAATCGTTAATCCAGATCTGAAACTACTGAACTGATAGAAAAGTGTAAGAGATTTATTCCGTGTTGCCGGTTGATAATGATACTAGGCAAAATACTTAGGTGTTTGTATGTGTATGTATACTTTGAATTTCACAATGGATTGATCACTGGGTGATCAATGTCATGCATGTCCAGTCCTTATTATTAGTGCAGATCCAATGCTATCGATCATGTTGCAATGTGGCCACCAGTGTAGGTGACTGGACACCGCGGGCACTATTGTGGTTAGATGGTGTTTGGAGGTAGTCGACAGGAAACCCTGGACCCGGGTTTCGTGCTACTTGGCACTCGTCAGCAAGGTGTACCTGTAATCTCTGAGGGAACTGGTGCTCCCTGGCGGATTCGAACCCGTGTCACCCAGCTTGACAGTCAGAGACGTTACCACTGAGCTATCCGGGCCGCGACCGACCTCCTGTCCCACGAAACCCGGGTCCAGGGTTTCCTGTCGACTACCTTCAACCACCATCTAACCATACTTTGAATTTACCGAATTGCATGACATACGCCTGATTTAAGAATTCAAAATAGTGATTATAAAAGATTATTCTATTGGTTGAATTTATGGAAGTAATTTAGTAATAATCCTCCTCTCTATTAACTATTGAGTCAATGTATCAAGCTAATATTTATTCCATAACCAATTTATAAAGTATATACTGTTAGTATGTATTATTAAGACAATGAAAGCTTCACACTTGAACCATTCCATTCAGTAAACAAAATACCTTCAAAACAATTTAATTATCTACATACAATTACTATGACCTTTATTCATCATTGTATAAGTAAGTTACGTTTTGTCTTACTTACACAATAGTATAACTTACATTACAATATTACGTGTAATATACACATAAAATATAGTACGGTACTTTAATTGACAACTTACGATTGATAATAAATGGTTAAAATTAAAACAAATAAAAACAATCGATCGTTTAAATGATGAGACTATCATTGTGATGAACAATCTTTAAGTGACATTAAAGTGACCCCGAAATGATTCACCTATTTGCTAAGTTTAATTGAGTGTTATAAACTTGTATGTGAGAAATTACAATATTTTGAACATTATATTTTAGCGCCATTTATAAAGCTTCATAGGATTAGAAGCTTGGAAGTAGGAAGGGAGAAATGATATAACTACCCACTGTTCGTTCATATCCAATTATGGTAAGTTACTGTTAATGTTCTGTTTAGAAATGTAAACAGAAATCACTTCCGAAAAGATCAACTTATTGTCTGTTGATATTCTGAACCTTTTTCTTTTCATCCAGTTGACTTCCAAGGAATGGAAACATCTTAATATTAAATGATCAGTGATAGTCTGTAGATGAACCTTTACTTATGTTTATACTTATTGATATGTATAACCAAAGGATACCTAATGTTATGAAAAGATTAATGTTTACTTAGTGAATCCAAACAAAATCTATCTTAATTCAGGTTTCAGTAGAATTCGGTTAATATCTAGTCGATTAACCTTAATGGATAACTTGATCAATAGGATTAAGTTCTCAAAAACTTTGGGTTAGTTTGTTCAATGATCGATTGGTTATGTTATCATGAAATGATTTTCAATCATTTGGCTTAATCGCGTTACGGTGAGACTATAATTTATGGACAACCTTTGAGTGACGCTAGACTGTACACTTAACAACTAGGACCAAATGAGGGTTATAAACCAGTGTGAGAAAGTAGAATTATGATTTACAGTTGGTGGTTAAGGTTAGGATATAGATTTAGAGGGGGTTTCATCATAAATTGACCTCATATATAATGCCAAAACTGTATTTATCCAAATCGATGAATGAATTTCGCGCCAATATTCGAGACCTACTATCTTAAATTTGATCAGTTCGTCCATAAATTGTAATGTCGCCATTTTTGGTAAATAATGATTTTTTCTCCATTACACAGACGTGGTATCAACATTATCATTCATATTGTCCTGTACAATTTATTCTTATAATTGTACAAATCAATTTATTCCATCATTTATTCGATGGTATAAAATAAACATAAGTACAAGAAAACATCAAATGGATATGCACCACACCAATCATTCGATTCGTGTGAAGGCTGGGAGACTGCTCATGTGCCTAAACCGAACCAGGCGGTTTTCTTAGAGAGTCACACCCGGATCATTTACTTAATGGTCCGATCAATAAGACAGTGGGGCAACGTTAGCAGATGCAGTCCCATGGTAGACGGTGACCAAGAATTGGTTCATACGCCATTTGTTCCCTCAGGATATTGGAGCCCATATGCACCATGTGTTCGGAATGAGTGCTTTCCAATTCCTCTTGTTTGATCCTCCATATCCACAAACTCGTTCACCTTCTATCCTTTCAATTTCGTAAACAACAACCCCTGTACTAGAAAGTAGTGAGTAGCACTTCACTTGAAGTGGTTGTATACACGTGGCCATTTAAGAGTATTTCGGGAGGGAGAACTGACTCTCGGCCATATCAGGATATTTAGGGGCTATGTCTTATAATAAAGTAGCAAACAAAAATGAGTCACTATCAGATTTGTAAGTAGACCAAGAGTTAAAATATTAAAATATCAGGTAGATGATGAGCAGTAAGGATGATCGATTTAGGCCTATATCATTCTTATAAACGTATTTATTGTTCTTAAAACTGGGCTTCATAGTAAATGCTTCAATTTTGTATGAACACAAACATAAAAAGGCTTCATTATCTAAGCATTTCAAATCTTATTGTTGTAAGCTGTTTTTAAAAAAGGACCAAAATACATTATCCAAGTAGAGAAGATTTGTAGCTCATGTGGTTGATTTTGATGGAGTTTTGTTCTCTCACCGAGATGGTTTGGTCGTAAGTTTTCATCATTCTTCTTAACATCATCAGGACAAACTTCTATCCAACTCAGAGAACAAAACTCCATCACAATATCCATATATCATATTCTAGCTTTCGGATAGGCCAATCTATTCCTTCTACTTGAGTGACATTTTGACCTTGTTAATTATTCACTTATCAATCTTGACTGCTTTTTATATGAACGCCTTCTTATCACATGTCTGTAACTTAGTTTTGTGTGATTATAAATATTGATTAACGCCTGGTTAAATGGAGTTGGCTCACATGCCTTCTCCACTGCGCGTCATTTTGTTTCGCTTCATTCCCTGATTGCCTGTTCAAATCAATGAGTGCATGAAATATACATATTCAAAAGTCCATTCTCCTATTTGACTTATTTAATTTCGTTAATCACTAACGCCATTTAAGTCGATAATAATATATGAGGATTGACGAAATGTGTACTTCATTAACAATCATACAATATAATGGTGGTCGGATATTGAGCCACTAAAGTGGTGAGGCTGTTAACAAGATCTTCCGATCTAAATGACTACAAAATAAAGAACCCCACCAATGTGGAGAGACCATCGACGCCGAAGAATCTAAAGCAGCAAGCTTCGTCGATGGAAAAATTCTTCACTCTATAATTTCGCCAAACAAACTCAGCGAATCCAACTAAATCTCTAGTCCTACGCACTCAACGAAGCTTGTGCAGCACGACATGGA